GCAGAGGGCGAGATGCTTTCTCCGCTATCGGTCTCCTGATAAGGCAGGACAGAGTTCTCGACTGCTGCCGGAAAACAGTAATTTCCCAGCCAAAAGGTCGCAAAAATGGCAGAACCAAGGAAACTTGGCCAGGAGAAGGTTGGCGCCGTAAACCACACTCTTATCGGTGAGGGGTGGTCGGTCGCTTCAACTCTTCGTCAAGATGAGGGTCAGGGTTAAAACCAGGCTTCCGTTGATTAGGAAGTTGGTTAACTCTCTCAACGCCTCCAAAATCGCCGTCGAAAGGTCCAATTGCGTGATATTGGCCTGACAAGGGTCGAAAAGTCGTAAGGTCCGGTGTGGTATTCGGCCTTGCGAGGTCGGGTTGTCGACGAGGGCGTCGACTTCGGTTTACTTGGTGATTTAAGCGTCAAAAGAGCTCATAACCTGTTGGGCTGGCGACCTAGGAAAGTCACTGGCTGCGAAAATGAGGCTAAAATGGCCAAAAAATGGTAAGCAAATTGGTATTACAGTAGTTGGTTGTTGGTTAAAAAGTAAACAGTAAGAAAATCCAGCCCCAAGAGCAAACCGGTGTGGGTCTGGGAAAACCTGGGCCCTTTGGTGCCCCACATCTTCTGTTCGTCACCCCTTTTCTCCGCACATAAGTAGCACAACACTCCATCATTTTCGCACAAACCTGCTTTAAAGCATGAGACGCAGCCGTCCTCTTCTTGCTCGTCCATCATTAGATACTAGAGCTCACCGTCTTGCTCTTCTTTTACCCCTTACACCTTGAGACACGGCCGTCTTCGTCTCTCTCGCCCATCACCATCTTCCTCGCCCATCTACCACCACCATCACAGTCTTGGGTAGGCAGGTTACTCGTCGTAGATATGTTGAGCGCCTTGCTGTTCCTCTTCCTGTTATAGCATCGCCCCATTATTTCATCTTCCCTTCATAGTATCTTCTTTTTATAGCAGAGTGACATGGTCCTACTTCCTCGCTCACCACCAAGATCAACACTTTTACCAACCCTTCATTCTGCCCTACATATAGACCATGTACCACTAGAAGGTAAGAGTGGGGAGCTTTGCTTTAGAGATAAAGGGGTAAGGGGAGGGGGGTGGGGTTTTAGCTACCTAAAAGTTCCTCTAAAGCCGAAGCAATCAGGCTTAAAAAGACCGTTTTAGAAAGTCCTTATAGCCTTTTGCTCCACTTTATTTTGACCATATAAAGAAGATAAACTAAGATCCAC